TAGTGGACTAGAGGAATGCTGTGGATATAATTTTCTTGGATTTCAGTAAGGCATTTGATAAAGTTCGTATATGGTTTCCTGCCTGAGCAGGGGTTGGACTAGATGACCTCCAAGGTCCCTTCCAACTTTACTATATATTATTAAATGCAAGAGTGAAATCTTTCTAGCAGATGAACTTAAAACATTCCTCCTGCTAACTCTGGGCTTTTGTTAAGAGTACAGAGAGAGAAAGGAAGAAGAAAAACAAACAAACAAACAAACAAACAAACAAACAAACACAATTTTTTTCTTCACTCTGTTTGTTGGCCAGACAAACAGAGTGAGGTATTTCCTTTTTGTGGCTTATTTTAAGCAGAATTTCTAGCAGAATTTAAAATTATTTTTTTTCTTTGGATTTGAAACAGTTAACAGTCACATTTACCTCTCACACACAGACTTTGACAAACATATATACACAAAGACAAGAGAACAGAAGTCTTAGGTTTACACATCCTAGTCATTCCCACCATAAGTTTCAGATAGCTCAAATTAGGGAAGGCACAGATCTTAAACATACCACATGGTTGCATAGAGAAGAGAGAGAGAGATAGAGAGAGAGAGAATCACTATTTCTTATTTTCCCTTTTAAGTACCTTTATTTAGCCAAATTGGTTTCCCAGCAAAGCCCTAAGCAAAGTCTATTTTTTTGCATAACTCTTTTAACCGTTTCTTTTTCATCCCGCCCTGGACAGGTAGCTGATTCCTGTCCCAGGCGTCGAGCAAGCTCTCAACCGGGAAACTTATCTCAGCCCTTGAACTTGAACTTCCCATACTTTCACTAAACGGGCTCTATATACCGGAAGCTTCCTTGCGAAGCTTCCTCCTCCGCGGTTTTGTGAGTCCAAAAAGGGGACTCACGGAGCACTCTGGATCCCTCACAGAGTACGCTGGCTCCTTGAGGGATCTCCCCACGTTTTCAGACCCCTAAAAAAAAAAGGTCTGCAGAGACACTTCTGGTTTCCCCTCAGAAGGTACGGGTCACTCTCCCACCGATCGGCTTTTACCACAACTGTTTTGCGGACCCCTAAAATCCGCTGCGGACCTCTGCTTGCTCTCAGAGGTAAGTGGACCGCTCCTAGCTTTTGCTTACAGGGCCTTATCAGCTAATTGCCCAAATCCAATTCTTTCATTCATTCCATTTCATTTTCACAGCCTCTCCCTTTTCCCTACAAAAGGTTCTGTGCTCTGACCAACNTTTTTAAAGCATTTTTTGAAAAGCAGAAACCAAACCTGGCCTCATCTCTGCCCAGGGCAGTAGCTAGTCTTATACAAATGCAGATGTGGAACCATCAGAAAGTTGAAGCCAGAGCAATCAAGAAGACAAAGAGAAAATCTGCATACCCCACCCAAGCTCTTAAGAGTCATTAGCCCCATCACCTGGGAAGCAGGATATGTTAATGGGATTAAACCACAGATATCAAGGCCTAGAAAAACACTCAGAAATAGCCTCAAAGTTCATACCACAGGAACAGGAAACTTCCAAGCAGGGCTGGGAGGGGGGTATAAAAAGACCATCTGCCCATGTGCTCACTCTCTTTTCCTTCTGCTGCTTATCTGTCTTCTGCAATAAACTGTAACCTTCTTCCCAAAGCAGTTGCCATGTTTGCTTATTTATTCCCGGCTTGGATGAACCAGGATGAAGACTTACTTCTAACAGTATCAATATAAAATGGTTACTATATGTAAAATAAATGCTAATGTCAAACTTAAACATACTAAAATCATAAGCACAATAAAATCCCTTCACTGCCTTTTTAATATTTCCCAAATTATTTCTCTGGATTCTTCCCACAGTTTCATTTGTTGTCTAATCCATGTGCAGGTCTTTCTATCTGATGGAATCACTACAGTTTATATAGGATAGAACTCTTAAAACTTAAAAACTATTAAAAAAGAAATCAGGTTGCACCTGAACTAAAACAAACATTGGCTCCTGGGGGAAGGTAATATGTTAATGCTGTTCAGCCATAGCTGGGCAAAACTCTAGCCTTTGTCACTGTTTTCATGAACAACTCTCATTTTTTTTCTTCAAAAAAAGAAAAAGAAAAAAAGGAAAGTCTGTACTCTAATTTAGACTAAGTCTATGAGCGAAGTAGGAAACAATAACATCCGGTCCCAGGATGCCAGGGGCTAGGAGCGAACTTCGAGAGGCTTAAAAAAGGGGGCGTAGAGTAGCAGAGAGCATGCGCAGTGAGTCTTGGCGGGTAGAGAGGGAGTTCAGTGTTCTTTTGTTTGGCGGAGACGGGTCGAACGCGGGAGGCTGTTTGCCAAAGAGTTGCTCTCTTGCTTCAAAACGAGACTTTCTTTTCCCGACTGTAGTTGCGGCTCTTCTGCCTCTCCGTGCTTTTTATCTTTACATTTCCATTCGTGGGTTCTTTGTGGGGCTGACCAAGGTAAAGAGAGGAGAAAGGGAACAAAGTGGAGGGCGCACAGATGTCGCGCGCGCGTTATGAGGGCGAAGCAGCCATATTGGGGGTGGGCTGAGGAGGTTTTTAAGGGGTTCTGGAACGCGAGATCTTGCAAGATTCGGAAGGGTCAGCCGGGGGAAGGAGAAAAAGAAACGAAATGTAGACTGGGAATTATGAGTGGGCTGATGTTAGAAACCTAATTTGGCCTTAAGTTGCGGTGGTGGGGCAAAGAACAGATACGCGACGGAGTATGGAGGGGACTTTCCATGAAGACGTGGTGTAGGCAGATGTGCTGTGTATGCTACTGTATTGAGACAGACGGAATGCACCGTAAAATAGAGCAAGGTGGGGGAAGTGCTGTACGGATTACCATATTGGGAAGGTGCTTTTCAGAAAACAAACCTTGAGTGTATAACTGGGAATGCTAAAATATGTATGCTTCATATCGGTGAAAGGAAGAGTTAATTAGGTAGAGGGTGAGGAATGGGGAAAATTAGATAATTTGATGAAGTAGCCAATGATAATTCTGGATTCCAAATAGATGTACACATAGTCGGGGGGGGGGGAATCCAGTCTTTCTGACTGAGAAAGCTGCTCCAGAAGAAATTTAAGGGGTTCTTGTTAGTTTTTTTTAATGGAGAGAAACACAAGCAGGAATGGAGTAGATTTGTATGCTCAGGAACCAAGTAGGAACCCCCCCCCACCCGATCTACAGGGGATTAATACGATGTTTAATTTCATTTTTCTGTAGATAATATGTACACTATTTGGTGAATAGACTTTTTGGTTAAGTTATATTAGGACATACAGTTCTCACTGCAGTTACTTGTGAAAATGAATTTGGGGTGGGGGAATTGGTTTATTGGTCTAACTTAGTGTGGATTAAATTAGCCAATTTTTAGTTGTGTACCAAGAAGGTTGATTTGATATGTTAGAGGAATGGCATAGATAATAGTGTAATATAGTAGAAGTGTCCAAAAAGCCTGCATAACCCCAGACATTCCCAGAAGCTATGCTGGTAGTGAAAAGAATCTGTTCAATTAATACATGATGTGATTTGGAGCATAGTCAAGCCAGCCAACCATTGCTTGTTAGCAAGAAGTTGATGTGAATGTATTTGTTATGGTGAAATATTAAAATATCTTTATGGAGCTACACTTAGGATGTATTAAGTATTTGATAGGTTATGTTGGTAAATAGTAACTTGTGCTTTTTTTGGTTACATTTTTATCTGCAGCTTGGGTTTTGCCATACTTTAACATCAGTACAGCTAGATCAGGCAGAGATGTACTGTATTAACTGATTTAAGGTAACCTGTAATATTTATACCTAAGGATTTGAGCCTAGGTTTCCGTAGTTCAGCTTTAATACTCTATCCTTTTACCATACTGATGTATGTTTAATGTACCTAGTTATGCAGTGCCAGAGTTAAACAGACACTGGCAGAGATGCTGATAAGAGCAGTATCTGCAACCCTGCTCAATTGTTTAGGAGCCCTTCAATGAACACTCATTTTGCTGCTCCTGATAGTAAGTACTTGCTCCTGGGATGTATTTTCAGTACTAATTCATATTCACAAGGTAGTTTACAGTAGTATTTATTTGTATCCTGCTTTTTTTTTTTTACAAATAACTCATAGAAGCAAACATCCAATTTTCTCCTATTCCTCCTATTTCTCCACAACAACAACCCTGTGAGGTGAGTTGGGCTGAGAGTGACTGGCCCAACGTCACCAACTGACTTTCATGACAAAGGCAGAACTAGAAGTCATGGTCTCCCACTTTCTAGCCTGGTGCCTTAACCATTAGACCAAACTCTATAAACCATGAAATACTAAAATGCAAACATAACCGTATAAACCAGGGGTCTTCAAACTTGTCCCTTTTATGACTTGTGGACTTCAACCCCCAGAATTCCTCAGCCAGGCATGCTGGCTGAGGAATTCTGGGAGTTGAAGTCCACAAGTCATAAAAGGGACAAGTTTGAAGACCCCTGGTATAAACAGTATAAACTTGAATATAGTGTGGTGCAGTGGTTAGAGAGTTGGACTAGAACCAGAGTGACCCAGGTTCAATAGCCAACACTCCAGAAGACAGGCTTAAGATACAAAAGGATCTGGACAGACTTGAACACTGGGCACTATCTAACAAAATGAAATTCAATTGTGAAAAAAGCAAGGTTCTACATTTAGGCAAGAAAAACCAAATGCACAGGTATAGTATAGGGGGTACCTTGCTCAATAGTAGTAACTGTGAGAGGGACCTTGGAGTCCTAGTGGACAATCACCTAAATATGAGCCAGCAGTGTGCTGCAGCTGCCAAAAAGGCCAACACAGTGCTAGGCTGCATTAACAGGGATAGAATCAAGATCACATGAAGTGTTAATACCACTTTACAGTGCCTTGGTAAGGCCACACTTGGAATACTGCATCCGGTCACTGCGATGTAAAAAAGATGTTGAGACTCTAGAAAGAGTACAGAGAAGAGCAACAAAGATGATTAGGGGACTGGAGGCTAAAGCATATAAGGAACGGCTGCTGGAATTGGGTATGTCTAGTTTAATGAAGAGAAGGACGAGGGGGGACATGATAGCAGTGTTCCAATATCTCAGGGGCTGCCACAAAGAAGAGGG